GTACAAAGTAGGCTAGGATAAAAGCCGATATTTTTGAAGTTATAATCTAGTACCAAAGGTTTGAACAGCGATAAATTTCTAGTAAGTATAACTTTTGGAGATTTGTGTAATGTCTGAATTAAAAGTAGCGTTCCCAGTAAGTGGTTGAGTTATGGTTCTGGGAACGAAGTACCTGTGAATGCGTAAACACTTCGTTGTGTCAAAAGAATACGATAACGGAAAGGGTGGGCGGGTGCTGATTGACGACTGCAGAAAAACTTATATATGGCTATTATTTATATGCTTTTTTTGTTATTCCCCCTTTCTCGTAATGCTTACCAGATAAAAATAATAATTAGCTTGGGCAAGAATGAGAAGTTTGTGAAATTTTTGGGATAAGGAACTTTGAATCTTCAACAAAATATTAGCACCATGATATTCATATTCAGCAGAAGCTGCAATGGATGGGCGTAATCCTTATGAGGGCGACACTGTCAGAAGATGTATGTTTTGAAATTTAAAGGCGTTATTCAACCAGTAAGCAAATACAGAATCTTTAAACGTAGCTGCCACGCAAACCTTTTTAACTTTGTAATATTTGTGTATTTGTTTTTTCCACAAGCATTTCGCTAAAAGACTCGTCGAACTTTTTATGGCTAGGGAAGCTATGCGTTTGTGAACAACTTACATTCTCAATAAGCAAGTCGTAAAATCATGCAACCATTCTTGCGCAATCGTCTTACCATTAAAACGCGTCTCACCAAGTGTGTCGCATATTTATGTGCGACAAGTTGGTGCACAGCTTTGGAAACTTTTGTGCTGCACTGCTTACTGAGCGGTCTGTATTTGATCAGTCATAGGCCTTAAGTTTTGAACCCTTTGTCAACGGTAAAATGACTCGCAACTATTCTTAATGAATAGCAGAACATGGAAAATGTGATTCAAAACCTTTTTTGTATTTGAGATCTAAAAGATACTTTTGGAAAAAGCTATGTAGCAGATTTAGATCCGGTGATAAAAAACAATGACACTCAATTATGAAAAACCCGTTGCTATTTTTAATGGAAGGTGTGTTCGAAACTACATATTGAGCGCTTAAATTTCATTGTAAATGTGAGTAAAAGAGTTTTGGTACTTTTACAACTCTTTATATGATGTACAACTAGAAAAGCTTTCCAAAGTCTTACTAATCAATTTCTAAAAGTCACCGTTTTTTGTTTTCAGCGGGGCCACCATGCACTGATGAGCTGATTATTTGAGAAGCATATTTAACATCGAAATTCTGTTCTGGACTACTTTTAATAAGTGTTATATTCAGATTACCTGCAACATTAATTATGAAAGTGATTTAAAGTATTTCTATAACATACTTTGAATAAGAAAGTCTGTTACGTAACAGAACGGTAACAGTCCTCGTTTTGCTTTGAGTTTCTGAAAAAGATAGGAATAAACCATAAGGACGTTGTTAGACTAAAGTCAGTTTTGCATGCAACGAGTATTTGCGCTTAATGTTGCCAAAAGCACAAGGAAGCCTATCTTGGGACTCATCGCTTTCTGTCTACTGTCCTTTAAATTTGAATATTTTCTTGAAGACCTGATTTCTTATTGAAGATGGTGTTGCGTTATGAGCAAAGGATACATCTTTATGATGAATGGCAGCATTGAACAAATTATTATTATAGAAGTCCAGTCAATTTGTTAGAAAGATAGTTTTATGACGCCAGTCGAGCACATTATTGACTTTTGCTAGTATTTAGATGCCAGTGCTTAACGCCTCAACATCTGCGTCCCAATTCTTCACTCTTCCCTTCAGAAGGAAAAAGCAACGGTGGGGTTAAACTAGTTTTTGGACAATGTAGATAGAGAGATGACGTCCTATATTATAATTCTACTTTAGGTATACAATAAACCCTCCAGATGTTTGCTACAATGTAATTTATCTGGGCAACGTTCTTACAATAATGGCTGGAGGAGAGCATTGCTTTGAAAAGCCACTAGAGTTGATTTGGAAGGCCTATTGTAATAGAACTGACGGTGACCTAAATATGGGTCTAGAGGTTATTTTTTTATCATATTGATTTTTTTCTTGAATTTATTTTCGTTTAACAAATTGAGATAATTTAGATAACTCGGTCAGGACTAAAAGCTGAAACAAAAGAGCAGGGCCTCACTGAATATTGGGCTCATCGCATTACTTCATCAGGAGCCCCAGCAAATTATCCAAGGATATTCTGTTGGATATACAAACACGATGGAAAAAGGTACTCCTAGAGTCCTTGGTAGCCTTAAATTATTTCTATGTTTGTAGGCTCAAGCCGGAGCTTCG